TGTCGTTACGGGGTTTGGCAATTTGCCGATGTTTGTTGACAGCCTACAGATTCGGAAGTCGCATTTGTGGCAGCTTTTTTTCGCCTTTTAATATTTCTTTTTATTGCTGATAGTGTTTTATAGAATCTTATGGATGTTGAGTTGTTGGCTGAAAATTGTCGTATAGCAAGGGAGAAGGCAATTCTTGGTAACTATGAACAAGCAGCAATATTTTACCAGTCGGCTATTACACAGATTGCACGACGATTAAACAAAATACCATTTGATCATTCGAAACGACCATTGTGGTCACAGGTAATTGTTTGTTCTTTTATTATAACATTCATGGTTGCTTAATTCTTTCAGTTTCTTATATCATTTTGTCAAGATACTGTTAGAATGGGTTAGAGCAGTTTTTCTTTTTGGAACCGGTGCACTAATAAATCTGTCGGAATACAATCTTAGATTTTGGACGTTTTATGCAAGATTGTTAAGTAGGAATATCCTTTTGCTTGACGATCTTTTTTTTTTTGTAAATTGTTTCAAAACCTTGCGGAATTTGACAAACAGGAATGACTGCATGTAATGATGAGCTGGTGACTACCCGTATTTTTTAGATTGATTTTATTTTTAGATTGATCGTTTAAGGAGTATGTCAAACATTCATTAGGGAAATTTACAGTTTCAAGTCTGAAGAATGTTGGGACTTGAAAAAAGTGAAGTTTTTTGCTATTTAAAATTTAGTTGTGGCATTGATTTTTTAGTTAGAACCAGTGTTTTTTTTTGGCGAAAGTTGTGAATCCTGCCTGAAAATTGTTTTTGTCTGATAACTTGCTAATTAAAAGATTTGATTTTTATGAACTTTTTCGACATTTTGTTCCGCATGTTTTTTTAAATTTTTTCGTCATTTTGCATAAGGGTTGTAGTTTTTTTTTATATTTTCTATCAGGTTCTTTTGATAACTGATTTGCTGAACCACTTTTTGACACTCATCTGATGACAAAACCCAGTGAGGCGTAGTAAAAACCTTTGATATTTTATTCTGCATGGGTCAAGTCAAAGTTTTGTTTCCCCTTTAAATGTCTGGATTTATCTGCGGAAATCGAAGTTTGGGCAAGTTGTGCACACAGATATGCAGGGATTTCTTATTTAATTTTTTTATGGGAAAGTTATTAATGTTTTATATGAGTGGAATTTAGTCACCACGTAAGTTTTATGCATAACATTTTTCGAGACTTTCTAACGATTATTGGATATTTTTATTTATATTTTCCGTGTATCAATCTTACGGTTTGAATACATTTATATCAAACTTTTTTTAAATGTCATAAGTGTAAAAAAACGTTCTTTTTTTCTCGAACTTTTTATCAGTTAATTGAGTACTGCAAATAATTTTTTTAGAGGCAGAAGGATAGAGGTAGACGGACAAGTAAGTCATGATTAAATAAATGTAATTTCTAAATTGTCTGCTTCAATTGTTTTTTCTCGAGGAGAAATTTTTTACAGATTATTGTGGAACCGCTGTATATCCTCTTCAAGATTCTTTTTCGTAGGATCTAAAGTATTTTTCCAATAATTGCTGGCAATTTATGATGCCTTTTTTACCTGTTAGGGACTCTTGTATATTCTTAAAAAAATGCTTTCAAAAAATTTGTGCAGTTATTTTGTTCTCAAATTTTGATGCTACTTCGGTTTTTTAAGTCAAAAATAATCATATTTACCGCCCCTTTGCTGTACTAAGAGGAGTCGTTCAAGGCGTGTACGGTTTTCTTTATTTTTTACCATTGTAAAACTATTTGTGGTTTTTTTTTAATTCAGAACTATCTTATAGTTTCTAAAAAATTGAAATAATTAATCGCA